ACGACGCTCTTCCGATCTCCCCAAAACCCCAAAACCCCGATAGAGTTATGAATAGGAGTGGAAAGTCTAAATTGATGTAGCGAAGTTTTTCAATTTCTTAATTAAAGAATAAATATTGATAATTTTATAAAATGATAAAAGAGCAGTCATCTTCAACAAGTTTTCAAATTAATAAAGCTCTTCAGGAGATTGATAATAAGAACTCAGAAATAGGCAACACAATGAGTGACTTTCGAATAATCAATGAACTGGGCAGAGGATCATACGGGACTGTCTACAAAGTCACCTCTTTAAAGAATAATCAGACAGTTGTGCTCAAGAAAATCTCACTTAAACATATGAAACCCAAGTAACAACAAGCTGCTCTTAAGGAAGTTCAAATCCTCAAGTTTCTCGATCACCCTCACATCATCAAGTATTCGCTTTTATTGAGTTACCATTAGTTTAGATATTTTACATCATTTATGGAAGACGAGAGTATACATATAGTGATGGAGTATGCTGAAAAAGGCGATTTATACAAGGTAAGAATATATTCTATCCTACAGCCGAAAGTCTGCTTACACTCTAAAATAAGCCAAATAATTACAATTATTATAGCTATTGAAAGAACAAAGAACAAGAAGGAAATACTTTTCAGAGAAAGACATTTGGGACTTCTCTTATTAAATTTGCTTGGCAGTTGAGTATCTGCATCTGAAGAACATTATTCACAGAGACATAAAGTGCTTGAACATTTTCTTATCTGATGACAAGAGCATTAAGATAGGAGACTTAGGGGTTTCTAAAATAGTTTCATCTGCCGCTGCATTATAGGACACTAGAGTGGGCACACCTTTGTATTTATCCCCTGAACTAGTGAAATAGCAGCCTTATGATTTTAAAGTTGATGTATGGGCAGTAGGCTGTGCAATTTATCATCTTGCATGCTTAGAGCCACCTTTCCAGGGTGATAACTTGATTACTCTTGGAAACAACATTGTTAATAAAAAGCATAAACAATTGCCCCAGATATACTCAAATAAGCTATCTAATTTCATTGACAGATTTCTAGCTAAGAAAGCCTCTGAAAGACCAAGTGCGAGAGAAGCTGTATAGCTTATACCTACATTCGTTAAAAGTGCGTATTAAGATAATGTTCCTAAGAAGTTTAAATAGGAAGATTAGTAATCTCAATAAGAGTCTTGATTTCAGTAATCGTAATCAAATGATAAAATAAAACAAGTATCCCCAAGTAAAGACTTCAAGCTCCCAGCAAGAAGATAAATTGATGACTAGGCTTTTCTAGTTAAGAAAACAATTGAAACACAGAATGTTAAAGTTGAAAATAACCTTTCATTGCTAAATTTACAGAAAATTGGCAACAATAATTTGATTGAGTAAAAAGATAAAATCTTAAAGAAAAATAAAGAAATAATAGACAAGAAAACTCCAAAAGAATTTAGAGAAATCAAGTCCGATAGGATACTTAATGAGATAGTTAGTTAGCAAAAATAAGATAACAACAGTGAATAATAAATCAACAACATTGTGAAATCCTAAAGTTAGGATAAAATATCAACGCCTAAATTATCTGCACCCTTGATGCAGCAAAAGAATTCATAATTAAATCTACCCTAAATCGATTGGTACAGTTAGTAAAATCCTAGATATCAAAATAACATTGACCGCATTGAATAAACTAGAGATCTCAAGATTCCACTCAAAAATTCATAATCATCTAGATTTTCAAACCATATTAGTAGCTAAGTTGCTCTATAAAGTACTAATGAAGATACTACTAAAGCTCCTAGCAAATCAGGTGTGCAATTTAAGATAGATAATAGCGGAAATAGTCCTCCCAAAATTGTTAATCATCATGAAAGAACCAGCTCTAGGACATTTGAAAATAATTATCCCATCATCTAATAGATTTAAAGTAAATAAAATTAGCAATAAGCAGATCAAGGTATATAAAAAGGGGAGTATGATCTTGAAGGAAAGAGTTCTTAAGTGTAATAGCAATAATAGAATACTGAAAACTAAAATGATAAACAAAAGCAGTAGATGTATATGAATAATATTGGTAGAGAAATGCCTTATCTGGCAAGACCTTAAACTGCCTCAGCATCTAATAACTATATCTACAGAAGAACTAATCAGTAATAAAGCTCTTAAGGTAGTGTTTCCTTGAAGCCAGGAATTAGTATGCTTAGAAATATTGCAAACAAGAATTCACAAGAAGATTTAATACAATAAATGTAGGAATAGCAGCAAAATAACCAATACAGGCCGATCTCTGCAGCGATTCCATAAATATAAGGTATTCAAAAAAGAAAGAATGTGGTATTCGAAGATGATGTAAAGCAACAAGATCAGTCTGAAATAGAAATTATCAACGATGACGAAGAGGGTCAAGATAATGACTACAATTAATTCAATAATTTGAATGAGAATTTCAAAAGGTAAAGCATCCTATAAAGGCCATAGACATTTGTTGCTAAGGATACTTCCAGCCAGCCTAGAATGAGTTAGAATTTCAGACCAAGCACAGCCATTATTCCTGCAAGAAGCAACTCCTAATAGAATCAAATTAAGCCAAACATTATTAGAGCGTCTTATGAAACTAGTTCTACTAAGATTTAGTAAAAACCAACAAGTGAACCTTTAGACAAGAAAAACATTGGCTAATCCACTGATAGTGTTGTCAAATCTCGATATCAATCGTAATCTTAAGTAACTAATGTCATTAAAAACGAGTTAAATATGCGAAGTTAGCAAGAATATGAGAATTAGTTCAGCAAATTTTTCAAGACCAATCTTAAAAAGACCACTGTTCCAGTAATTGGAGGCAGTGTTAATGGGTTAGCAAAATAAATAACAAACAGTCATTAAAAATCTGTGATAAATGACAATGAACTAAAATAAAAAATAAAAAACTACTAGACTTCAAGTGTACAGTCACTAATACTATAATCTCAGCAAGACAATATCATATATAACAGTGTAGAAAAGGGGGAGGCCAACAACAATAATATTGGATAGAGACTATATTCACATCCTACATAATCACAGCAATCTCATGAAGATTATAGATCCTCTCCCAAAGAAAATCAGCAAATATTTGATAAGAAGAAGTATAATTTTCCTTAAAGAAGTAGATAATAGAAAAAAATAACTATCAGAGACTTGGATCCTATGCAAAATTCAAACTTGCAATCTAAAATATTGTAAGGTGTACAGTAATGAATATGATTTTCTAATTAGTTATTGTTAATATAATAAAGGTATATATTTGTTTTATTCATACCAAAATTAACATATGAATTAATTAAGATATATTATTCAAATTTGCTCTTTTTATACTTCTTTCTACAATCATATTATGGGATTCATGTTTTGCTGCTTAAGCTAAGTAATCATCTAATCTATCTACTTATTATCTAAGAAGTTCCCATAAGTTTTAGAGGTAGTTGGAGGGAGCAGATTTTTGCTGACCATTCCACTTCTATTCGAAGCCTACAAACCACTATTTTGATAAGGACTTAACTACCCATAGTTATTAGTCTGAGAAGTTACTGGATTAAAGCTATTATTAGGATTCTTAAGCGCTAATCTTTGATCTCTACTCATAGGTATAGGTCTTTTCATAAGACTATGATCAGCTGAGACATTTGTGACTTCATTATTTAAAGGATTAATCTATGGATTTTGCCCATTATTTATGAAAGATCTTTGAGCACTATTTATAAGAATTCCTTTTTGAAAAAGGTTTTCATTGAAATTTTTTTTCATATTGATACTTCTCTCAATGCTAGATATTCTTCCATTTTAGGAATTTATTCTACTATTTTGATTATCTACTTCTTGACCTATGTATTTGCCTTTACTCCATAATCTTTCTTAAATTTATGGAGACTCTGAAATCATAGGCTGATGAAGGTTGTCTGAGGATTGATGGAACTTAGGTGTTGAAGATCCCTACATGCTATTAAAGTAAATTTTATTTATTTCTTAAGTAGAACTACTATTTACATTTGGCTAAATACCCTGAGGTTAAAGTAGATCATAGGTATTCACTGATTATCTTTTTGAAAAGACTCTATCCTATAATCTTTAATTAAGACTTATTTGCTGTAGAGAGCTTGGAGGTTCATAGGTCTTGTTGAGAGTATATACGTTCTCTCCTGGCTCAACTTGACTATTATACTTCTATCTGTAAGCTGATTTAGTGATTATAGGAGATTGCTCGTTTAAAATGGTAGAGTGCTTTTAGTTATTTTCGAAAATTGGATTGCTTTAATTAGGATTTTAGCCTGTTTAATAAGTTTGAAATCTTGCATAATGACTATTAGGAGGGGGACCTACTTTTTCATTTTGTTAGGGTAGATAGCTGTATTAATCTTAAACATGAATTTTTAAGTCTTTGTTATGAATTTCATCTTTATTTCTTGTCAACTAATAAGGCTTAATTTAGAAGTCTGAAGATTTTGAACTTTAACCTTAGTTAGCTCTCTACTCATCATTAATAGAATGAAACTATTTTGGACGGGAGCCTTCAATGTCCCCAACATAATTAGCTAGTCTCTTAGTTTGAGGAGATATTGTGACTTTAGGTGCACTCTTTTCAATCTAGCCAATTCTCATTAATCTACCAGACTTTGTAGGAACATCATACTCAGGCTTAAGTGGATCAACCATTCTTTTAGTTTGCCACTTATCTGGATTGATGTCCTTTGTATAAAGTTTATAATCTGGCCCAGTCATAGGTTTATTCTACTTTAGCTATGCAGGTTGAGCCCCAGCTATGTCATTTGAGTTTATATATTCTCTACCCTCAATATTCCTATATTTTCTATAAACATCTGATTAAGCTCCCGGAATATCGCTGATATTAAGTTTATCCCTCACAAATCTTTTAGACTTTGTGACATCTGTTGGTTACATTATTTTAGTCAGCGGATTCTCAGAAAAGAACTCGTTTTGCTTGGGCATTTCTTTGTTAAGCTTTCTTGCAAAAATATTGTTTTTATTGTTTTCAGGATCATATTTAAGAACGAAATTCTTTTTAGCTGTATTAGATGTAGCTTAAGAAGAGGTAACATGCGAAGGCATGTTTATATATTCTGACATTAATTTTATCTTGTGAACTTATATTTAATTTATTGATTTTATTACAATTTTAACTAAAATTAGCTTTATGGGGTTTTGGGGTTTTGGGGTTTTGGGGTTTTGGGG